TGTAGTAAGCACAGTTTGGCTGCCCTTTATGACTGGATTACTGCATTCTGTTGATTCTTAATTTTTGTAGGTTTGGGCTTTATTCCTTTTGATAACTATGTAAGTTTAAAAAGCTAAAGCTCTAAATTGTTCTTAGAAACAATGAATAGCACATATGTGTAAATTTTAAAAAATGTATATAGAAATAAAATATTATGTCTATGAGAGCAAAAAAAAATCAACTAGAATGGTGTATTTAACCATGAAGTCAATTAAAAAAAAAACAACTGAAATGTCTAGAGGTAAAGGGACATCACATCTGTTGTTTACTCTCAAATGATTTAGGAAAAAGTATGTATATATTGATAGAATGATAGAGTGAATATGATAAAATGTTGCTGTTTGAAGAATATGGGTGAAGGCTATCTAGGAATTCGACTGTTCTTGAAATAACCTGATATTATCTTAAAAAGAAGAAGATTTTTCCATCTTAGGTTCACCACTATAAATCTTAACCCTAACAACTCTATTTATACAGGAATAGAGACCTTTGACATTCACAGACTTAATGGACATGGAAACCTGGAGACGTAATCTGTGACTCTGGTGGGGCACTGATCTGATTTCTGTTTGGTGGGGCAAGCCTAGCTCACTGCTTTCCACTCACATCTCACTATAACCAGGTTGCTCTATACCAAGGACTGCATATGCTGGAACTATCAAAGAAATTTCTAAAAATTCTTAAAATTTTTTTTTTGAAAATAGGCATTTAGAGAAAATATTACAGTATAACATGGAGTTAGCTTGTAGAGTATATGTATAGAAACACAATTCTTAAACATGATTTGGGAAGAAGACAGCAACTTGTACAAAGAGTTCTGCAGTCACAAATTGGGGAATTTGCAAAGCTCTTTGGAAGTACCTTCTGAGAATGTCAAGGGCTGGTCTATGTCCCATAAGATATGCTGGAGACTACTGGACTTTTTACTAGTCTATATTTGGGCTCAAAAACCTCCAAGAGATTCCTACCACACTTAAGATAAATCCAAACCCCTACAATGCTCTGCAAATCCACATGCTCTCACTCTCGTCTGTCCATTAGACCATATTCCCTACCATTCTCTGCCTGACGCACTCCGGCCTTCTTGCTGTTCCCTGGACAAGCTCCGCTCATCCCTGACTCAGTCGTCACATGTGGGGTTTCCTCTGCTTAGAACACCTTCCCCCCAGGCCTCCCCATTTCTTCCCATTCAGGCCTCTGCTTTAGCGTCACCCACTCAGAAGACTGCTCTATCTCTAAACGCTCCTCGTCCCACCTCCGGCTAAGTCTCTACCCCTTTATCTGGCTTTATTTTTCTTTACGACCCTTGTCACCTAACATATGACGGATCTGTCTACGCTCTCTCTCCTCCACTGTTATGTAACTGTCACTGAGTCTCTCAAGGACAGGGACTCAGTGATATATTCCCACAGCTGAAGCAGTGTTTACTGTATAATAGGCACTAAAAAACATGTTTGTAAGATGAATGAATAAATATTACATTTATTTTTCTTTTACATCTTATAAGGAGCATTAAAAGGACTAATACTGACTTTGCTTCAGGGAGCTTATGATCTTTTGCAGACTTTGAACAAGCAACGGCAAATTCAAGGAACACAGCAAATGGAAAGTGTGGGATTATCTGTATATTTTATTTCACTATGGGAGTATACGTGTTAAGACTTTCTTTTTAAAATTCATTAAGAAAAGATCTTCAAAACATTAAAAACAACCCCTGGATTAATGAAATAATATATTCTCACCTCCTCAAGGGAAGATTCCAAATTCATTCCAAAAGCAACTCCCATGAGTCCAAAGAGTGAGAGAGAAAAGGTTCCCATGGTCAACTGTAGGTTCAGCCTCATCATCACATTTCGGTGGCTAGAGAGGAGAGCAAGCACTTAGAGCAGAAAGGCCCACCAACCACACACAGCAAATTCACTCAACAGTCTATTACAGACCACATGCATGGAATGTACACCTTAAGAAAAGACACTTCCGTTTAATAGTTACAGATGATAATGATGGTATAATTCCTTCCAAAATGGGAAGATGAAGCTTTCCTTAAAAGCTTTATCACATTATAATTATTTTATGGAGAAAATGCTTGCTGATTGTTTTATACAATGCCTCACCTGTCCAGATTGATGAATATGATACTCTGTGAATCATCAATCAGCACCCTAAGTTCCCGAGCTGCATTGGAAAGATCCTCAGCCAATCGGTAGTAGTTTTCCAACAGCAACTCCATCTCTTCTGCATGGTCAATCCCAGCACTGCTCTTTTCACTTTAATTAAAAGTTAACATAATTAACATGCCCCCAATATGTGCATCATACATTTAGTACCACAAAACTTCCTGAATTAGCACATAATATTCAGCTACCAGTGAAAAAAACAAGTCTGTACCTTTCCTATCATTGTGACTGAGGCCAGTCTGAGTGGTTTTGCCAACTGGTCCTAAACATGACACAGGTAAGCTGAGAGCACAGCTTCCCTGTATCCCAGGGACACTCACGCAAACACAGGCTACCAGTTACAGAAAAATGTAGGTAGGTAAATGCTAATGAATTAGTGCAAATTCCAAGCCACTATCCGGTGAAACAAAACCACAAAGTTTTGAACATAAAGAACAGTTCCCTTCCAAGGTGAATATATTACATCATTTTCATATATGAAGAAAAACATTTTTGAATGATGTCAGTACACAGTTATTTTGTCTGCTTTTGGTTACCCTCTACCCTAACGAGGAGGATAAGTGGAAATGAAGTATTCTGTAAAAGACACTTATATCATAAGCCATATTAAAGACAGATTGGCCTAATAAGCAAAGCAAGCAAGAGTTACAAGTGTTCAAGTTTCTGCTACAGTATCTATCTGCTGTAGCACTGAGTGTTACAGAGCCATTTTTATTTTCATATTTCCTTACTAGAATACAGAAAACTGGGAGGAGGATATAGCTCAGGTGGTAAAGTGCATGCTTAGCATGCATGTCCTGGGTTCAACCCCCAATACCTCCTCTAAAGATAAATAAATAAACCTAATTACCACTTCCCCTCAAAAAAAGAATACAGAAAACTAATTTCTTAAAATACTTAAAAAAATCTGTACACACTGTGGATACTATGCACATTTACAAAGGTGTCTGTATTAACATCTCATACTGATCTACAAAGAACAAAAATGAAATATTTGGTGTATTTAAAGAGTAAACATTTAAACTTGAGTGTACACAGGAAGAGTAAATGATTTCTACATTCATAAGAGATGAAAGGTTTATAAGATGAAAGCACTTTTATATTAGACCAGACTTAGAGAATTCGTGCCAGTGTCTGATTCACTTCCCTGCACTCCACACACCCCGCTGCCCCGCTCATGGATTTCACTTCTCTTGCACTATACTCTCGTGGTAAGTTTTTCAAGTAGATGTGTGTGTTACTTTGGTGGTCAGTCCTCTGAAGATAAAGGTGGTGGTGTTTATCTTTACATTCATCAAAGCCCAGCACAGTGTTGTGTACAGTGTACTTAATAAATCCTTATTACATTCAATTAGATGCAATAGGGCACTGGAAATGGTGAAATAATTAGGGATGAAAAGCACCAACATCCTCTATTCCAGAAAAGTGTTATGTCCTCTATGAAAAGTCATCCTGAAGAAAAGAAAGACAACTGATACTAAGAGAAAAACTAACAAGGCATGACTGTGTGCTTACAAGACTTGCGGGTCACTCCACTTTGTCAGACAGAGCTCCTCCAGCATCTCTGCTTCATCCAAGATCTCCAAAATGGACTCTTTGAAAATTTTAATATCTGTTTCTAACTCTGACAGGCTGTAAGAGTAGTTGCACAAGAATGAACAATAGCATAAACTTATAAAAACATTTTATAAGAATAGTGCTTTTTTAGGGTATCGTATCAAGTAGATCCACTTATACCATGGTAAACACTGACTTGTGAAAAATTTTTTTTGATATTTACCATGTAGGCTGAGAATCAATTGCCAAACCAAAAACTACATTAAATGGTAAAGTTAATCAATAACATAAACATAATTTTCAGCATATATTATTTATCTCAGAAACACAATCAATGTGATTTAAGTTTCTTGGCTTGCAAATTTATTTTTATTCTTTATAAGTACTGCAGAGACAGACTATTTGATATGGTACAATATGATAAAAACATCCTAACAATTCTGGACAAAGAACTACTGATTTAGAAATTTCAACTGGTAACTTCTGGAGGGACTTTAGAAGGTACAAATTCTGAGGGCATGTTAATACAAATTAATTAAAATATTATTCTTAAATTCTGGAATGCATTATGATAAACAAAAAAAAACGGAGCTTGGAGGGAGAGAAAATTGGATTTGAATTTAGATCTGCCATTTAGTAGCTGTATAAGTTTAGACAAGTAACCTAGACCTCAATTTTCTTATCTTCAAAATGAGGACAATGTCAACTGCTGAACAGGACTGCTGACAGGATGAAATGAGATCATATACAGAGAAGAGCCTGATAAAACCACAACATTTCATACAAAATAGTTTTTGTCTATGTGCCCCCTGTAGCTCAACTTCCCACCTAGGCTACTTACGTATTTTCAAAAAAAGGTATGAAAACAGACAATTTTAATAATAATGAAAACCAAATATGGCAGTGAAGTCACTAAGAGTAAGTCCGAAAGTAAGAATGTTATTACCATTAGCAAGACTAGTTGGTATTTGAAAAACAGGTAATAATTACACTAATTTTGGATCTGCATTTATGTTAAACATTTCATTGTTAAGACTACTGAAAAAGAAGTTTAAGACATTTGTGTCTGACTCCCAACTTGGTAAATCACTCGTATTTACCTTTTGCCATTTTGTAGTAAGATGTGCAGTTTGCTTCTGTCGACAGAAGAATGTTTGGGATCCACTAAAGCTTCCAATGTCTCAAGGATCAGTGGTTGCAAAGTGCTAAGTTTCCCCTGAAGGGTGTTGATCTAGATTAACAACATGACCTTTCATAAGAATTAAAACAATCTTTTTAGAATATTCAGGGTCAGTGAATCCTCTGATTAAATACAGCAATCTGTAATACCTAGGAAGGCTGGTAACATTCAGAACATAGTCAGTGCTAGAACGCCCATTCCAGATGAGTCAAAACCCAGATCTCCTAGGTTAAAAGACAGCCATTCATAAAATTGCTATGAGGCTACTATTTAATAGGCAGGGAATTAATTCCCATCCCCACTACAGATACTTATTATGAAAGGAACGGAGGACTTATTAAAATAAAATCTGCCATTCTGTGGTTAAAAACAGAAGCTTTATATCTGGTAAACAATACCTATGTTTTCTGTAAATCAGACACAGTTCAAAACTCCTATGAACAAAAGTCTTCAAAAACCAAAACATTCCTGACTTTACAAATTTGTAAAGTCAAAAGTATACTTATCACACAAGTTAATACAGGCACAGCAGGAATCAATCTGCAGGTATGCATTGATATAGATACACTAGTTGTTAAAATATTAAAATACTTCCATACCGGCATAATAGTAGCTGAATTAAGTAAATTAATACTATAAAGTCCAACATATACTGTCTATCCCAGCATGAGCTCCTCAGAGCCTGCTCAGTCTGTGTAGCTGTCACTGACCATTGCCTGTACCTTCTTTTCTTTCCCTCTGTTTATCCTCTGCTTAGTAAGTGGGCTTCGACCAGTCACCATCTCATTGGCTGGTGCTAGCCAGTGCTATTGCCTAGTTAACCCAAGTGGGGCCATCTCCTACTCCCTCAGTATATGAAGGCAGACAAAGGGGGCCAGGTTCACTCAATCCCCACCCATCTCATGTCCCCTCTACTCCCATCTTTTTCTCCTGCTCTGGGTAACATGCTCCTGGCACCGACTCTTCCATGCAGCCAGGTTCTGAACAATACTATCCTGACTAAGGGGGCAGGGGGAGATGATGAGAGATTTGTGGGGGCCAGGGAAGCAGTGACCAGCCTTGTTCAGAGCCTGACAGAATCTCCAGACACTCAATGATTATCAGTTTAATGGAGGAGTCATTAGAAGTATTGTATGTACATGGTTCCTATGTCAAACAGGAGTATTATTTAGCTACCTCAAAGGACTGTACAAACAAGTCAAAGAATGATTTGGAAAGTATTAGGATAATTTGAAGAAAGATTTGTGCTCTAATATTTATCATGTATAATAAGTTTCATGACATATAATTTAAATTCAGTTAGAAAATAAAATGGAATACAGTCAAAACTTTTTGATATGTTCATTTATATCATATGTAGAGTAAGTATTTTGGTTAAAACTTTTAATTTTTTTAAATTTTATTTTCTTATTGAAGTGTAGTTAGTTTACAATGTTAGTTTCAGGTGTATAGCAAAGCAATTCAGTTATACATATACATACATATATATATCAGATACTTTTCCACTATAGCTTATTATGAGAAACTGAATATGATTCCCTGCACTATACAGTAGGCCTTTGTTGTTAATCTATTTTGTATATAGTAATGTGTATCTGTTAATCTTAAACTCCTAATTTATCACTCCCCTCCCCCTCCCTCTTTGGTAACCATAGTTTTTTTCTATGTCCATGAGTCTTTCTGGTTTATAAATAAAATCTGTACCTTTTTTTTTTTCAGATTTCACATATAAATGATATCATGATACTTATTTTTCTCTGTCTGACTCACTTCACTTAATATGATAACTTCTAGGTCCATCCATGTTGCTGCAAATGGCATTATTTCATTCTTTTTTTATGGCTGAGTAATTTTGAATTATCATCCCTAAAAACATTTATTAAAACTAAACAAAGGACCTAAAGCCTGAAATGTGCTTCAATGAATGTCATAACATTACTGTCTCAGAGACTCTATGTACTACACCTACAGACTTCAGATCTATGTGACTGGGTCATAAAGTTTGAGAATTAAGTACTTTCCCCATATAGGATCCTTAGAGATGTTTTTATTTGATAGGAGGGGGTGGTTTGGAAAAGTGCCAACAGAACATTACCAATGTGTCCTCCTTCTCAATAGCATTGTAAAGCCAGAAAAATTCAAGAAGCTAAATAAAAACAGGCTTACCCGATACTGCAGGAGTGCTTCTATAGCTCTAAACTCAAAAGGTAAAGGGTATGTGACAAGTTGACCCTCTCCAGCCAACTGTGAAGGGAGTTCCCGGAATAGCCACTGCTCTAAATTTAAATTACGATAATCTAATATCAGAAGACACTCTGGAGTTATCACAGCTTTCAAATACTGTAAAAAAAAAATGTAGATAATGTACACATATGCAAAAATACATATACATGTAAATTGCAGAGTTGTAGGAAGAAAAATAACATTCACAAAATAGGATTTAATACTCTATTAATTTTGGATTAAGCCTAAACCAAATCACTGTTTATTTGGTTTCTCAAGAAAAATCAAGACTTTTTTTTAAAGAAAGGAAGCCTTTCTCAACAGAACTCTCAACAGAACTAAAATTAAACAAATTATGTTATTTATTAGGACTTTCAGGGTAATCATGAGAAATACAGAGAACAAAGGAAACAAGGTAAGATCTTCTTAAAAGTCAGGTATTCAGCAAACTTTTAGAAAAGATTTAGTTTAATCATGATTAGTTTGGCTGAAATGGGAAAGTTTTCTTTTTTAAACATCACCAAAACATATTAAGCTAATTTGAAATGATAAAGATGAAACAGAGCCTTAGTGCTCTAATTTAGGACACTATGAAATTAAAAATTTACTCTAAAGAGAAAGCCTGCCTTCTTTCATGTTAGATGAGCAGCACAGAAGGGAAGCCTGTGGCCCCTGTATTAGTGATATCTTTCACATCTTCCCAACATTTTACAGCTGACCTTTGAACACTTGGGTGAACCGTGCAGGTCCACTTACATGCAGGTTGTTTTCAACAGTAAATGCCATGGTACCACACGACCTGCGGTTGGTTTATCCCAGTATGTGGAAGATGAGGCAGGGAGGAACCGGGACTATACGTTACACGTGGAGTTTTGACTGTGGGGAGGCTAATCGCCCCCAACCCCTGCGTAGTTTAAGGGTCAAATGTAATAGGAACATTTTTATTCAGAAAAGTTGGAAAATTATACAGTGAATACCTATACGCATACCATTTAGGTGAAATAATTAACATTCTGTTAAATTTGCTTTATCATATACTTTTCTCTCTCTTCACCAGAGGTACTGTTTTGAAAGGTGCTAGCTATAGCTAATAAAATTGAAGAATGTTCTATGGCGAAAAATCACTTGGGAAAATACTAGAATTAATTAAAAAATTAATTCTAGATAAGTGGACAAAAACTTGCCATCAAAGACTTTTTGAAGAAAGCAAGTCGTGTGTCCACCGTAGGGCCACTACCATTGAAACCTGCGTCCCTTCATTTATTTCTGAACCCTCAACTTGAGCCCACCAAAACAACTAATTTTCATAATAATTCTGAATCACTGTAGGAAAGTCAAATTATATTTGGTGAACTCTTGGGTAGGCAAGGGAAGATACAATATATTTTAGAAAGCTTTCCATAAAAATAATAATTTTAATTAAGATGATAGACTGTAAGGATATTCCGGGGCTGTTTGGAAAACCAGAAATATATTCTTGTAGCTACAGTTACACTACAATTACACATAACTGAAAATGTCTATTATAAATCAAGAAATATTCTTTCTCCTATTATTTCAGAAACTAGATACTGAATTCTAACAGGGAGGATGGAGACTGCAGTCAGAACCTTTCCAACATGAAATGTTACGCCTGCTGAGCAAATGTACCGAATCCACGTAAAATGAGCTCTACTCCTCACAACACACAACATGTTGTTATAAAACAGCCTATGCCTCACGTAGCTATTTTTATTACAAAATTACTTTTAACCTAGCTATTGATTGAGATAGTTAGGAAATAACTTTTACAAGATTGCAGTGGAGAAACGTAGATTAAATAAAGTCCTTTACCTCCATTCTCATGATAATCCTATTGTTTCTGGTTGTGATGCTCATTAAATGCTGAAACCTCAAATCTCTGGCTTGAAGACCTAATTCTTGATATAAATCAGTTTTCTTCCTTTCTATAAAAAAAATTACATTCAATAAAAAGACTGAAGAGCACAGATTTTTGTATCAGAGTACCCTTCCCACCAGCATTAAGATAATCTTGTATTACTACCAGAAACCAAAGCTAAATTGGATCTTTTTAATACCCATTTCCACCTCTAAAACACACTCAGGCTAAAGCTGGTCAAACTCTAATTATTCTTTTCTCCTCTTTTCTGCATTTTAGCAATTTCTGGCTTTAGATTCATGTTTTTAAAAAATATTGATTATACAGAATTACAATTTCTATTTTTCCTCACTACATTATCTTTAGCAATTTAAAACTATGAATAGATAAGTTCAATTTTCTTTCTTCTTGGACTAGTACAAAATGAGAAAATAAAGGAAGTTCTCACACTAGACTCTCTTACCTGAAATAAAACTCAAGAAATGATGCTGGTTATATTAGCGTAGTATTAAACACCACATCTATGACAAAGCTTTAAGTAGAGCAATGTTTTGAAGGGGATACTGAGCCAAAAACACCCAAAATACTCCACTGAGCTCTCAGCAACAGCAGGAACAGGATCATGGGGTGGGAAGTACATGGGAGACCCGAAACCTGCACCTGACGTCAGATAGTAAAGTAATGCTTAGTTTCATCTGGAAAGTAACTGCTGTTGGCAGAGGTCCACCCTAGCACCATCCAGTGCCCCTCCCCTCCTGTCTGCCGTCCCCCACTGCAGTGTCAGCCGTGTTATGTGATTCCACCCTCAGCATGCTACAGCAGAAGATGAACTTGAGGACCAGGGCAGTGAAAGGGAGACTAAGAAGAGAAAAGGGAAAAGAGTGTTTCTCTCTCAGCTGCACAGCAGCCTACATGCTTCCTTTAACATTGTTAGAGTGAAAGTAGCTCTTGACCAAAAAACAAACAAACAAAAAAACCCCAAAACACCCCCCAAAACTCCAGTATAGTTCAGATATTGTCAGTTCCAATTAGGACTGATTGGCAAATGCTGAAGAAATATCTCCTCCAACACATTCATATATGCAAAGAATAGTCTACTCCAAACACTTATTTTCTTGACTTCCATCAAGTTCATTCACTGATTAAAAGAGTAATTTAAAAGAAAATTAAAGATACTCACCAAAAGAAGTAACCTTTCCCTCTTTGTCAAATTTTGTCTGAAAAGAGACAATAAAAACAAAATATTATTTCCTCCCAAATTAGTATACTATTTATGGTATTATGATAATATCTCCCAAATTCTGAAATGCAGAAAAAAGCCATAATTGCCCTTCTTTAGGTTAAATTTAGTTATGAGTTAGGGTTAAAATGACCTCCTTTTTCTTTGCTGGGCCATGTGACCTTGGATTAACTTTCTCTCTCAGCTCCTCTGGAGATCTGACAAAGGAGTACCAGTTGCGTTACTAGGCAACATCGCTTACAGTAAAAATGCCTAGCGACTGGTAGGCAGACTGCACTGGGCTGGGAAGATTAAGAGCAGATCACAGACACCTGGTGGGAAGCCACAGTTCTGTCCTTCCCTTTGTGTGGCACCTCCCATAACTATGCTCCTCGTGGGAGCCCTGGATATGCCTCTGAGATGGTTACAAGAGATGCTGTCACTAGAGGGCATGGAGATTCCAAGCCAGGTGGACCTCACACCTACCTTTGAGAATACCCTCTCCTTGTTCCTGAGCTGTCACTGAGAAGCCTCTGGATGGCTGTAAGAAGTTCTTTTTAAGAGAAAACACCTAATGCTGCCCTTCTGCATTTCCTACCCTTTATCCTTCTGAATAGATGGGACCCAGTGTGGCTTATCTTGTGAATATAAGTATCCACGGGAGGCTATGAAGTCTCTCTGGTGGGCACTGCAGAATCAGTATTTACAGAAAAGGCCTCTTCCGATAGTCTGAAGAGAGGACATGATGCAGTAATCGTGCTTATTTCTTGAAAAGCAGAGAGGAACATTTTTCTGTAATACTTGTGCACAATCAAGTTTGAAGATGTCAAATAATATTTAATGAATCACTATGTGCTGGGCTGTATTTATTACTTTTAAATATGCATTTTCAGAAAGACATACTCTAACATATAGTTTAGGTACAATCTAAGTCCTGGGTTATTACCATGGAAACAAATGCATGTGGCATTAATAATAACACAATAAAACCCGAGAATATACACTTCACCTTGCTGCTCGTGAGCAAAGGTAAGAATATTTGAGTACCATAAAACAGAGTTAAAGGGAAATTTCCATCAAGGGAAGTTTTATGCTTTGTATAACACAGACTAGCTTTCCTTCTTAAACTTTTTTCACAAATACACATACCTGCTGCAGAAAACTCAACAATAAAGTAAAATAAAACTCTGGTCACCCGAAATGACAAATTTAGAGAAAACCATGCTAATACTTTACTGAATGTCTTTCCAGACTTTTTCCAATTAAATATTCATGTTACACATGCTTCTTTATAGTCTCTCCTCCACTTTCACCTTAACAATATATTTTTGAATATTTTTGCATTTCAATATATATCATTTTTTTCCTTTAATGGAATTTTTTTCTAATTAAAAAATCATACAAACTATGATTTAAAAAAAAACTGTTTACCCTGTAATGTAATTCACATTATTTCAAACAGCATCAATTGATTTTCTTAAGTGCTCTTGGTAGACAATGATTTCACCTGCAGAGAACCTTCTTTTCATATTTAACACCTGATACTGTATTCTTGTTTAATTAAACTGGCTAACTCCCCCAGAACAGTGAATAACAGTGACAACTTTCACATGTAATTCTGGGGGTTATCTTGTTCTGTATGGCTTACAAAGAAAAATTCTTATGTTAATAAGCCTAAGTAATAATGATGATAAAATGGCTAATATATAGTGAATGCCTACCACGTGTGAGTTAGTATTTTAGAGGTTTTACATACGTTACTTAAACCTCACAATTCTATAAGGCAGGTACTATTACCCCAGTTTATAGATGAGAAAACTAAGGCACAAAAATGTTATAACTTGTCCAAGCCCTTCCAGTTAGTAAGAGACAGAGCTGAGATCGGAATTTAGGAACTCTGGCTGAGAGCAAGCACATTTTTAACAATTAAACTTTAAAAAAAAAACCTAAAAGCTTACAAAAATGAAGAATATTACAACCAATTCCCATGTAACTATCTAGTCACTCTTTAACATTTGCCCCAATGGCCTTATTTTTTTCTCTAAATACGTGTGTGATACACATTGTTCCTGCTATTTCATTCATTTATTTTCTTTCTGAACCGCTTTAGGGAAAGTTGCAGAGATCACGACCCTTCAAAGCACGCACCCTTAAGCGTTATACTGCACTGCCTTCAAAATGCTTCTGCTGCATGATGCATAGCACAGGTCCAAGCCCCTTGGCGGCTAGCAGCCTTCAAGGCCTTCTATAGGTTTCTGGGGAAATCACAAGTATTCAAAGCAGCAGCTCTCAACTGTGATCTGAATCCCCTGTTCTGGTATCAAGAGAAGCTCCACAATCATTAGCAACGTTTCAAGAGTGCTGTGAAGCAAATCTAGCTGGCAACTCAAGCAAAACAGACAGTGACTTTTAAATGATTCATTATAAAACGGTGTAAGTCACGTCTTGGCCGACCAGTCCAACCCAGTTAACTTAAAAAGTACGGGAAATATTTTCTGTAAGTCATCAAACAGACCATACATACTCACCACAGTAAACACTGGGGCTACACTGGCTAAGGTGGCTTGAGAGACATCAGAAGTTCTAAACCGGTGAGTTTCACCTGAAGAAAGAATTAGAGAATTCCTTGTGATCATATGACTGGTTTTCACACAGAGCTAAGATACAACTTTCACAGTACGTGGAGGTGTTCAGACTGTCTTACTAGTTTTTTTTTCAGATCTTATTCCTTCCTATTTATTACACACATTTAAAGACATGTAATTGGTTACCATCTGAGGTTTGTTGGTTGCCTTTTACAAAATATAAATCATTATCAGGGTCAGCTGAATAAAGGTTAAAGCGCTATAAAGAGCTATAAACCAGCATTTGCTAATCAGTCACAAATTAAATCAAGTGTTACCAGGACGGAGATCCTGAATTTCAATGTTTGTCCTGAAACAATTGATGGGCTGAAACCAGGTTCCCAAGCATTTATCAAAGAAGGGAATATGAAATGTAACCGAATTCGGAAAGACTCTCCGAATGAGTTAGGGGCAGGAGGTGGTAACAGTGAGTTACTTTGGAAGCATTTTTAAAATACAACCCAGATAACTTATTTGATGACAGTGCGGTACTCTTGAGAAACCATACACTTTAATGTCTTTCGTTTCTGGGCAATATTAGCACCCATATTCTCACCATCATGGTTTATCGTTTGGTTTAAAAATAAATAACTCAGCTACCCCCTTCTCCCGGCTCTCCCCCAACCCCGACACAGACACAGACACAGACAGACACAGACACAGACACACACACACACACTTTGGCTGTCTGATTTACACGGTACTTGAAAACAAAGTCTGAACTTTCTCAGGAGCAATGCTCCCCATTAAGTCTCAAAGACTTCAGCCTCACTTCTAGATGCGCCTCCAACCCTTACCCGAGCAACTGGACAACTGTATAAATGTGTCCATAAGAGAACCGAATCCTTATAAAAATATTTCACGCATGTAGCCCAATTCTGGCTTCAGCACTATTATGATGGGTAAAAGTGAAACTTGTTTTAAAAAAATCCTTCTTACAAGCGCACTGAGGCGGGAGATTTGCAGAGAGGCGCTGGGGAGGACAGGACACTGGGCGCGATGCTCAGTGGCGTCCGGGGCTGGTGGGACGCAGCCCAGCCCGCGGGCCTATGCAAGGTGACAGAACACTGGGGGGCTCAAGGGCGGGCCAGGAGGCCGACGCCGGAGTAGGACGTGGGGCGGGCAGCCACAACCATGTGGGGTTAGGCGTTCGGGTCCGGGCCCTGGGGTCACCACAAGGCCGGCGTCCCGGGACTGGCCGGTGGGGAGAGCAGTACCTGCCACGCGGAGCCGCCGGGGCCCGCAGAGCGGAGCGGCCCGCCTCCTTCCGAACAGCTGGGCGGCGCGACCGCAGGAGGCAACCTGGGACACCCCAGGAGTCAGGCCCAAGGCCAGAGCGCACAGGCTGCGTCGGGGCAGCCCCACCGCATGGGGCAGGAGCTGGGCCAGGCCCCGCAGGCATTCCATGGAGCTGCAGCGAAGAGGAGGCAGCTGCGAGATCCCTGCCCTTCATGCCGGACGGTGGCTGAGCGGCCGGCACTGCGCGACCCTGCGCGGCCGCCCAAGGTGCAGCCGCTGCGTACTGGGCATGCGCGGGGCGGACCGCGCAGGCGTGTAATCTCTCGCGCATGCTCAGAAAATGCCTTTGGGTGCGCTTCTCGCTTCCCTTGGCCAATCGGAGTTTACCTCCTGCACCTGCGCCAGCGCCTGTAAATTGTGTAGGGACTGGCTTCCGGGCGGGTGCGGCGCGATTACCTGCGCGAGGCGAGCTATTTAACCTAGATTCGACCCTTGAGCCTTGGAGTGGTCGGGCTAGCACGTAGGTTGTCTATTGTTTCTATTAACTAGTAATCGTTAAATGTGAGAAAACACCCAACATGTGTATAATGCTTTGCAGTTTCTGGAGCATTTTTGTTTGATTTGGAAGTGAGGAAGTTATGCCCATTTCCAACTCAAACTATATTTAAGTTTAACGTAGCAAAAATAATTAACTGTCATATGGACTGATAATATTAAATTTTTGCTAGTGAAGATTTGGTGAATGTAAACACAGGTTTTACATTACGTGTTTAATCAAATAAAACGATCAATTTCAAGGTGCCATTATTTTATATACCACCAAGAAAGAAAATTCGGTGATAAACTGCTAATTATACCATTTAGGAGTCATCCCAATTTCAGTCTTTAAAATATGAAAAAAGTGAGGCTAAGAATTGATTAAATACAGTAGATAGGCATATTTTTGAAGTGTCAGTTAATAAACTTGTCCTTTCCAAGGCAGTAATGCAAGGCAGATGTGAGTTTCACAGATTTCCATTCAATAACTATGTATGAACACAGAACCAAAGAAACACGAGAGAACTTTTTTTTCCCCTGTAGGGTATTGGAACTGAGGGTGGATTGACAGGGGTATTTGTGTGTGTGGTGGGGTGAGGTCTGAAGTCTGGAAAGAGCCCTGGGTATAGAGAACATGACTGGAAGATTTTTCATTTAACTAAGGGCTTCAACAATGAAGCACATTTTTCAAAAACATCGCATGCCTTCAGAGACATTTCTTGGAAACAATATGTGATAACTCTTTTTAAAAATTTAGCCCTGAGTGCAATGAGACAGCTTTGTTTAAGATGATCCTTTACAAAGCCTTAGAAAAACTCTGGGACATGTCCACACACATGGCCTTATAACTCATGTCAAGGATTTGGAATTTAATCTGAGGAGGGTGGGAGTTATTGGGGGGACTTTGAGCAGAGAGGTAAACCTGATTTATGTTTAAACAGATGGCTCTGGCTGTATGGGGAGAAGATTACAGAAAGGTAAATGTGGGAACCGAGAGATGGGGATGTTGGTTTGGGTTAAGATGGAGGTGGTGGAGAAGGGGAGACTGGATAGATTTGGTGCTATATACTGAAGGATGAGTTGACAAGATTTGCAGATAGGACGTAAGTAAAGAACATGGAAGCTGACTCCAAAATGTTTGGCCTAAACAGCTGGGCAATCATGAGTGATATTTATTGAGACAGGGAATTTTGGAGAGGAGCAAGTTTAGATGGAAAATAGGTTATGGCTTGGCATTTGGTTCTGGATGGACATGTTAAATTTGACAGCTCTGTTAGATATCTAATCATAGATATCAAGTAGGCAGTCTGGAATTTGGGGGAGAATTTGGAGCTAAATATATATATATATATATTTTTTTGAGTCTATATAGAAAAATTTAAAGCCATGTGATTGGGTAAGATCTCTTAGGAAATAAGACAGCAGAGAGAAAAGTTCCTGTGATTCAACTGGAACCTCCAACATTTCATGGTTAAGAAGAGGGGATAGACCAACAGAAGAATATGAGAAGGTGTGGCCAGGAAGGAAGAGTAAAATTAGAGAGGGTGGGATCCTTGAAGCCAAGGGAAGAAAGTGTTTCAGGAATGAGGAAGTGATCAATTATGTTAAGTGCTACTGATAGGTAAGATGATAAATCAGAATTGTCTATGTTGGAGGTGACACTATGGAGCTTACTGGTGATCTTGATAGGAGCAGTTTTCATAGGGTGGTAGGGAATGGGATCTGGATCATCTTCCTTTTCATCTCAAGCCGTGACAGGATCCCAGATTTCTGCACCTCCGTAACAATTTGGTTTTAATAATCCCTTAATCTCTTTACTTACCTCTTATGCTCCAAAGTGGCTCAATTACCTAATCCTAGCCTCTCACTCTGGATTGTGTTCTCTCCCGGAATTTTTTCACCTCAGCAATTTTATACCAATAATTCACTCTCTGACCATAGCTTCCTGGAGGCCATACACAAACAACAATTACATTCTCCTGGCTGTTCTCTCTTCTCTACCCAACCCAGTTTATGTAACTGATTGCTGAAACCACTATGATAGTACTTGGAGCATGCTGTGCTCATGGGATGTAATCATAGAAGCCACTTTATTTTTGTCTCTTTAATCCTGCTGAGTGGGGCTAGTCTTTTTCTTGCCTCTTGAAACCTTGAACAGGTTCTGTGACTTTTCTGGTCTCTCAGTCCTATGCTCACTCTAGTCTCAATTCAGCAATTTAAAACATCCACTCCCTATTATGTTTAGTGCAATAAGTCGGACAGAGAAAGACAAATACTGTATGTTATCATTTATAAGTAGAATTGAAAAAAATTAACCAATGAATATGCAAAAGAGAAACAGAGGCATAGCTACAGAGAACAAATTAGTGATTCCCAGTGGGGAAAGGGAAGAGGAGAGGGGCAAGATAGGAGTAGAGGGTTAAGAAGTTCCAACAGTTCTGTGTAAAATAAATAAGCTACCAGGATACAGCACTGGGAATATGGCAACTACTTTATAATAACCATAAGTGGAATATAATCTATATAAATTTTGAATTACTGTGTTGTGCACCTGAAACTAATATACTATTGGAAATACCTCAATAAAAATAAAATAAAACATCCACTCAATATATTAACTTCAATTCAGTAATTTGCAGTGTTCGACCCAGTATACTAATCACCACTTCAATCTTCATTCAAAGGAAAAACTTGGTCCCAAATAGCAATTTTGGATATGGGTAGAGATTCCAGCCAGCTCCCCCCACGCTTGTTCCACTGTCTTTCTTACTCTCTGGCTGCTGTTTCTGACTCTGCTGGGGCAGAGAAACACAGTAAGAATGAACCAGAAGTATTTATTGAAAGTAATTATATATTCTGATCATTCTTTATCCCTTCAACAAATATGTCCAGGCACTGTATTTGGCTCTGGAAAGTCAAATGGTGAATTATGGTGCTGTGTACTGAGTTAGGGAAACCTGAAGTGGTATTTTGGGCGAAAGACTGAGAATTCTATTTTGGACCTGTTGAGTTTGAGATTGCCAAGAAAATATCCAACTTAATAAACACCTAAATACATTGACCTGGAGCTGGGAAGAAAGTCGAAGCTAAATGGATTAATGTGGGGGTTTTGGCATAGAGATAAGTAAGGCTATCAGAATGCAGGAAATTGCCTCAGGGAGCGTGAGAAGGAGGGGAGAAAAGGGTCCAGATTACAGTCTCCAAGACACACCAATCAACACCGGAGGGGGAGGGGAGGAACCAGCAAAGGAGACTGAGGAGGGTGGATCCTTTGTTCTTAGCACGTACTGGCCTAAACAGTAGTCCCCCCAAATGAAATAGTGGAGTTATCTTGAAAGCCCGCTGCTTTTGACTGTGGCAATGGAGTAGGGAAGGTGAGGGACTAGAAGTTACTATAGCTGTAATTTTCACTAAGCTCCATAAGGTAACAACTCAGGGGTCTCCTTAATAAAAACAAATACAGAGCTTCAGGGTTGATGTGAGTGGAGGGTTCTCCCAGGTGGGTTTAGGAGTCCCTGGGGGCTTTCTTCCTGTCCTCACCACCATTCTGAAATTGAGGAGGTTCTACTCCTTTTTAAAGTTTTGGCTTAAGCCAGAGTATTTGAGTTTATCATTTTATACCAAGCACTGTGCTAAGCATTGCAAACAGAAAACTGGTGGAAAAAATTCCGTCCTGTATTGTATGATGATTATGCTTCTCCATACTTACTTATTATTATTATTTCAATGGCTAGGTTTCCTCAGGGCAGTAGTTTCTTTTTGTTTAATTACAAAGCACTCCTTGAATTATTTTGTCCCAAAGAATGTGGAAATTCCTACAGTATTGCATAAGATGAAATGAACTTACATGTAGTGTCTACACACTGAGATTTTCATTTTAGTGAGTCTAATAAATTTTCACGTAGATAAATGTTCAGTTGTTCTTAGAACATTTTTTAAATGTTGAAAAACATTTTCAGACTCTTCTTATTTTCATAGAGCCTAAGGATTCAGGGATCCCAGACTGGGAATCCTGGTCCTAAAAGAATTATTTTCCCTTGATTGCCGGAGGATGACTATGTAACAATCTTTTTTCTCTCTTTTCTCCTGCTCTCAGTGCACCTGCCGCTAGCAGGCATGTTTTTCCAAAGAAAGCATTTCAGACCCACCTGGAGTGAATTTAAAAACTTCACTCTTTCACTAAGAGAGAATAATATCTGAATTTATATCTCATGGCAACCAGATATCCAAATATATTTTCTATGTTGAAAAAAAAGAATGGCTAAACATTGTAAATCTATCACGTTGTAAGACAAAATATATAATCCAAAGAATGTAGTCAGACTGAGTTCGTAAGAATCATCCTTCTTGAATTTCTGAGTTTACTGCTGGAATTTTAGCCAAATGTATTTGGTTTTGCATTTAATAAATACTATTTACAAGTTGAAGTTGAAGTTGAAGTTTAAGGTTTATGTATTGCAAATGAATGAAAAGGATTATAGAATACTCTTATATCAGGGTTTTTCAACCTCAGCTCTATTGACATTTTGGGCCAAATAATTTGTGGTTGGAGGGTAAGGGCTGTCCTGTATCTTGTAGAATGTTTAGCAACATCCCTGTCCTCTACCCACTAGATCCCAGTAGCATCACTTCCCCAAGTTGTGACAACCAAACACATCTCCAGATACCACCACTCTCTCCCGGGTGGCAAAATCGCTCCTGATAGAACCACTGTGTTTTATAATAATAAGAAGAATCCATAAACTCCAAGACCATTT